CCGCTTTCAAAATTGGAACTACACAAGTGAGTTGATGTGCAAACCACTACAGTTGTTTCAGAAATTGAGAAACAACCATTCCAGGTGTATGTTCCTTGTCTTTTTTTTTTGCTATTAAAATTTTATTCTGAAATTTCTACAAACTGTTTCCCCCAATCTATACAGTGCATGCAAGTGCAATAAAATACTCTAAACTTATTTCTGTGTAAAGGTTTATGGTCAAGATGAGTAACCACCCTGTTAAACATATCTCAGACACACAATAATTTCATTGTTTTAGTCTGCCTCAGATGCTGGCTGTTCTATGAAAGATATATTGGATATACAGGGTAGTTTATAAAATATCACAAAATCCAGTCTAGTATAAAAATTAAATGTTATCAATGCACTTTTATCATGGTTTATCGTTTTCTTATACAACTTTGTTTACCCAACAGTCAAAATACTGGAAAATTGTCTGTAAGCAACATTGCGAACTGACAATGTTTAACACTATGTGAGTCGGTAGTAGACTGGCCCAGCTGTGGTGACTTATTATAATTAAAATTTGGAGTGAACGCAAAACCACCACAGACTGGTCCTATTTGCAGCTAATCTATTGCTATTAGTTATTCATGTTATGCAGTGACATCACTGAACGGATACAAAAAAGGAATTGGGAGCATGCGCACTGCAAAATGAGGTAGACAATGTGGGTCGCATTAAAGGTCAACTTGTCAGCCATTTCTGTATTCGTCTGCAGACTTAACATCCGAGCAAAATGTAGTTTCCAGTTCTTTTAAGAAGTGTGGTAGTTTTTAGTATGTAGACACCATAGTTTTATAGAAAGTTGAGTTTATTGCGATACCGGTCACGAGTATGGAGCCGATGCAAAACTTAGCGCCGACCACACCAATCAAAGAAAGTAAAGAAAATTGAGCTATCGCCATGGACTACTCATATGGTATGTGTCATTTGCTGTAAAGACGTTAAGGCCGCAGCTCGGATAAAATTATTTAAAGCAAGTGAAACAAGTCATTGTCCCCGTTGGAAATAGGGGTAATGTTATTTATGCCAAAAATAAAGTAATATGCATCAAATGCATAGTTAATTTAGAGTGAATGATAGACTGGTCTAGTATCAACAGAAATTCGATGTATAAAATGACTCTTCCAAAATCAGAAATTCAGAAATTAAACACGATATGCTATTCATGCATTTTTTGTATCCAAACTGAATTTTATTTGTCCAGGCTCATGTACAGAGATACGAAATGAATCATCATGGACATGTATCTCAACATGTATAATGTTTGCAATAAGTTTGAAAACCGACAAATCCTGTCCAAGATACTGCACATTTAAAAAAAAAACACAAGATGGATGCCAGTCGGCCATCTTTGATCTGATTATGGAGCAAACCGACATGAACATGTATTTCTATATGCATGTGCCAAATATGAAAGAAAGTGGTCCATAAGCCTTGGAGATATAATAGTATGGTCAAAAAACAAAATTGTTGCCAGTCAGCCATTTTTGATCTGATTATGAAACCAACATGGACATGTATTCCAATATGTATGATGTATGTGTCAAATATGATTGAAAATGATCCCTAAGCTTTGGAGATATACAGTAGTAATATGGTATAAAAGCAAGATGGCCGCCAGTCAGCCATCTTTGATCTGATTGTAAAACAAATTGTCATGGACATGTAATCTAAAATGTATAATGTATGTACCAAATTTGAACAAAAACTGACAAAGCATGTGTAAGATACCACATTTTCAAAATACAAAATGGTTGCCAGTCAACAAAGACTGACAAAACATGCATAAGATACCACATTTTCAAAAACAAGCAGCCTCTCGGCTGAGATAGCTCCACTGTTAGCAATGCACATTTCAATTAAAGAACAGAGGATATCATTAGAAAATGAACAATATGTATAGTACCAAAACAATCAGACTTGCGGTTTTCAACAAGAAGTGGAAAATATCACTTTTTACCAAAAATTACAAAAATATTCATCAAAATTAGAGAATTAAAGATATCATTACAAAATGAACAAATCTGAGAGAGGTCCACATGTAGTACCTATATATGTAATATCAAAGCAATTGGACTTGCACTTTTCAACAAGAAGTCGAAAATATCAATTTTTACCAAAAATGACAAAAATATTCACCAAAATCAGAGAATTAAAGATATCATTACAAAATGAATAAATCTGAGAGAGGTCCAGATGTATTACCTATATATGTAATATCAAAGCAATTGCACTTGCGGTTTTTAACAAGAAGTTGAAAATATCACTTTTTACCAAAAATGACAAAAATATTCACCAAATTTAAAGAATTGAAATGAACAAATCTAAGAGAGGTCTACCCAAGGTACATATACACCAAGTATCAAAGCATTCAGGCTTGTAGTTTTCAAGAAGAAGTCGAATCAAAGAAAGCTTAGAAAGAACTCCCGTGTGCTGAGAGTATTGAAGACACATTAAAAATTAATTCAAAATTACTTGTACATGAGATATTGATGGAA